GCAGCCCATGGGCCGGATCAGGCCCTCGGAGGGCCACCATCTGGCTTGCAAGGCTCTGTCTGTTTCCTTTTTCCTTTCCCATTTCTCTTGCTGCTGCCACGTGGCACCTTGCTTTACCAGTCACTCTCATTAGCACAGGAGAGATAGATAGGCAAGCCTCTCCTGTGCAGTTGAGTTTGGTAAAGAACTGGCTGAGGCTCCTCCCCCTCCTTCTCCCAGGGGGCGGGAGGGAACAGGAGACAAAGGGAAGCCTTTCCATCCTTCCACTGGCTGAGGATCCTCCCCGGAGAGAGGAAGGGAATGCGGGAGAGCTTGTTTTGCTGGGCTGCCTCAATCGCAGGGGAGAAATACCAAGCACCTTTTTAAGACCAACAAAAATGTTGTTCAAAGTGTGAGCTTTGGTGTGCCTGACTACACTCTTTATGCCACAGCTCTCCCGGGTGCAACTGGATTCCTCCCCCCTTTTCACTGTATTCATGCCCTCATGATCCAGTCTTTCTCAGTAAGAAAGCAACGTGAACTTATTTTAGAGGAGGAATAACAACAAGACAGTGAGGTGGATTAGGCTGAGTGTGTGTCCAGATCAAGTTCACCCAGCACCTTTCCTTTGTTATTTCTCTGGGGAAGACTGTAGTTTTGTAGACAAATGTGTCATGATGCCTTCTCATGGTCTTGACCAGAACATGAGGCATCTTATGGATAAAAGGTTGCAATGCCCAGCCATTTCATTACTTCCCCTGGGTCCTAAGCTCCAAACACTGAGCATGAGATTTCTGTAATGAATGTCAATAAATAAAAAGTAAGTTTGCAACTTACAGATATAGACACCTGAACAGCATCATCAAGATTGCTACAGAACAGACATTTTGATGCAATAATTCAGAGCAAGAGGTGTCAGTTATCACAGACAGTTAAATAGACAAAATATTGCAAGAGTGCTAGTGTTTTAAGCATGTTTTATTTAAAAATCTTTAATTGCATTTGTCTGTGTCCTTTATAAAGCTTATATCTCAGATCTGATGAGACTGAGCAAGCCTGGGCCATCCAGCTCAGTGTAATAATCGAGTACTATCAATTCACAACCGACTTATGGCAACACCATCGGATTTCCAAGGCAAGAGAGGAACAGAGCTGGTTTGCCATTGTCTGCCTCTGCAGAGCAACCCTGTACTTTCTTGGTGGTCTCCCATTCAAATACCTCGCACCCCTAATAAAAAGATGGGGCCAGGCCTCTGAAGTGTTTATGAGGGATGGGGCAAGTCCTTAGTTGAGCTTGCAGAGTGTGGGTCACACAATGATTCTCCAGACCAAGCATCTTCTCTGTCTGAGTTCTTATTAGGAGACGGGGCGGAGAAGCAGAATTGTAAACAAAGGAAAGATTGAGTAGCATTTTAGTGATGTTTATCAGCCGTCTCCTCGGATAAGGGCAATTCTGCTCACTTACTGGATTCAGAAGCAGAATACAGAGCAGTGTCAAGTATAGCTTCTCCACATACCAAAACAGCCCATATTAAATCGATCAAAACACACCACACACATTTTGTTTTGTCTACAGAGTAAGAACATTTATTCCAACAATGCCAGGACCGTTACACACAGCTATCAAAAACCATCACACAATTCTTATCCTATACTGAGACTGGTATATACACAACGCAAAAGTCTGCAACTTGACAAGATTAAACTAAAGTAATATACACACACCTGACTGGACCCCTAAAGAACGTGTGTGGTGGCTCGTCTCTTCCTTATCACGTTCAACTCCCTCTTGCAGAGTCCCCGTCAACCTTCCTTTTTCTCCTCCTCGTCTGCTTTCTTGTTCATGAACTTCTGCAGAAAAGACACATTCACAACTCTCGTGACAAAGGGAAAAATTTGCTTGCTCACTGAAAAAACTCCTTCTGGGTGGTTCTAGGGCGGGGCAGCCACAACCAATGGGAAGCAGCTCCTCCTCCCTGGAGGCAAGCAAGGTTGCTCATCTTTTCAAGGGTCTTCAGCAAAATGGAAGACTACGGCTCAGTTTATTGTACAATATACCCTCTGATCAAGATTGGTTCAGTTTTTCAGATGTGGAGTTAGTTCTGAGTCCATTCTCTGAAGCAAAAAAATGGTTCTAGCATCCAATTGGAAGCAACCAGTATCGCCATCCAGAAGTGAATGCCTTAATAAAATCTGGAACACGGCTTTATTGGTGAAACTGCGGTACTACCAAAGAACAAAAAAGGAGGCACTTCCAGAACCCAGAAAAATGTAACAAACACTGGGTGCTCTTTGTTGTGTTTTAGAAAGGGGGGAGGGAGATAAACGCTATCCATTGGCTTGTCTATGGTTTGTGGTATTCTGTTAGTGTACTGCTCTGTAGTATAATTTTGTGGTTATTTTATATTAAAAAAACCAAACCTGAAGATTTTTCACGGGATCTTAGGAACCCCCCTTGGCATCAGTCACATTATTCCAAACAAATAAAAGAATTCTTTAACACTTTAAGGCAACAGAGACAACTTTTATGCATCACGGTAAGTTCAAGTAGGAACAAATGCATTATACACACACACGTATATATATATACACACACACACTTCAGCACTAACCCAATAAAATAGCAACTGCTCTAGATTT